TCTCTCTCCCTCCTCTTTCTCCCCCCCCCTCTCATGTACAGAAAAGTGGGAAGACATGGAATAACACCAAGAGATAGGGAAAAGTGGAAAGTGTTTGTTCATGACCTGTACCTTGACCCAGGGAGAGAAAGGCAGTAGATATCTCTATGGTGATGACTCTTCTCTACAACTGACTGACTCAGCGGTGCGCAGTTCCGGGGTGTAGTTTTAAAAAAAACAAATTTTAGTAGAGGTTTTCCGGCGCTCGAGACTGCATTTAAGGTTATTAGATTAATACGAGCGCCTGGAGATTAGAGGAGTTACAAGAGAGTAACAAACAGGGTGTTGTTTACAGCCAGCAGGATCAATAACGGCCACATTTAGCCACCAAGAACTGCATAGAAAAGAATAGTGAGTAGTCTAAAAGAAGAGAAAAAAGGCAGAAGAAGGTCATCAAAGCAGACAGTTACCGTTCAAAGGTGTTCAAGAGTTGCACGGAGCTAACAGGAAACATTCCTAAGATGGATAAGAAGAAAAAGAAGTTAAATCTACTAAATCTAGATCTAGATCTAGATCTATCTAGTCAAAACTAGTTAACAATCATCCATCAAAATTCTTCCATCTTAACCATCTTGTATGAAGTATTCATCAATGACCATAGAGCATGCATTGAGTGTGTATCTAGCTTACGATTATTGCTATTTATGTTGCTGCTCATTTATATTATCCATGGGATTGTAAGCCTGCGAGTGTGTGCATCATGTGTGTGTGTGTGTGTGTGTGTGTGTATGTGTGTGTGTGTGTGTGTGTGTGTGTGTGTGTGTGTGTGTGTGTGTGTGTACACGTGGTGAAACACCAAACCAATATCCCTGAATCTGGACAATGAAGACATAGATCTATCTTATCTTATCGTATCTTATCTTATTTTAATTTCTTTCCGCACTTACTGTATACAACACTCTTTTATCATAGCCACATCCTGTGAATCATTCTCACACAAAGAACCGAAAGCACTGACGACTGTCAAACTATCCTTCAGAAGAATCTTGATCGCCGAAACGAAATGAAAAATTCCTCCATCACAACGCGTAGCCGTTACCGTTACCCATCCCACACAGCACGACAGCAAGCACGAAGACACTGCTGCTAAAACGGAATGCACAACAAGACTATCAAATTTAACAACTCAATGTCGCCTCAGCGAGCGGCTTCTGGCTGAAGTTGAAGAAGAAAAAGG